TACTACAAGTAGTTGAGTGAAGCCACACAGCATTCTGGATACTTTGTGGATTTTTTTCCTAAAACATATCCTAGTTCATCCTTCTTAAATTCTGCCTTCTACAAAATCCTAGGACATGCACAAAATGTATCCAAGTTCTTTGCTATTTCATAACATGAATGGCCCTTTTTCCAGTTTCTAATATCTTGTTCTACATTTCCATCTGAGACCTCATCAGAATAATCTTTGCTGTCATGATCTCTTAAGTAATCTCTAAGAAGAATGCAGTTTTCCTTATATTTCTTTTCTTGAGTTCTTATCAGAATCACCTTCAGTGTCCCATCCTCATGACTCCATCTTTTCCCAAAAGCCATACCTACTAATAGTGCTTCATTGGAGAGTGAACTTCAGTATGCATTTTGTGGTGACAAAAACTTCAAACCATAATAAAACAATCTTAGAAAAAGAGAACTGTGTTTTCAATCCAGTGGATAGAGATGAGGGTTTCAACATTCTTACTTAAGTTAAGTTTCGACAGCTAGAGGTTAAGTAAACTACATGAATATTCTAGTTTGAGTATTCTTTTTTGATCTTTTCTGTTATGTGATTTTTTATCTTAAAAAGTCAAATACTTTTAAAAAATGGATGCAGAGGTTGATTATTTCCTTTGAGAATATGTTTCTCTAAGTGTGGTTCTAGGATCAGGAGAAGCTTTATCACTCAGGAATGCAAATTTTCAGGCTCCAATCTGAGAATCAGAAATTCTGGTTGCAGAGGCCAGCAGTCTCTGTTTTATCAATCCCTCCAGGTAATTTTGAGTGTGTGCTATAGCTTGAGACCTGCAGATCCAAGCTGACCTGGGACAAGGATCTGTATATTCTCTTGTTGTTCTGCTATGAGGACAATGGTATTGTGTTAGTGAATAGTTAATGTGATTTGTAGTGGGTGATTGGAAGATGGAACAATGCTCAGAAGAATATGATCTCTCATTTTCGATGCTCAGCTCTCAAGAAACTTATCAATCACCCTTTCCCCCCAAGGACTGAGCAGAAGATAATTTTGTGGTACATCCTTGATGTATGCTAAAATTTGAGAATCCCTATTTTAAGATGTTAGCCAGCAATTCCAATAGAGGCCACAAGGTGGATGGTACAATTGTGATGTTTACCCAGAAAGGGCCAATTTACAATAGAAAAAAAAGTAGGAACTCAGGTTCTGACTTTTCTACAAAAATGTTAGTATTAATAAGCTGGATGTGTAGATGTGGAAAGATATCAATTATGTGGTGGGAAAAAGTGAATTGTAGAAAATCATTGTAATGTGATATGATCACATTAAAAAACTTTGCATATTTACTTATGAATAGAAATACAAAAGAAATAATTACCCTTAAGAGTAGTTACCTGGGGGTAATAGGGTTAGATGTGACAGCTACAGTTGTGCCAACCTTATCCATTGATTTGCCTTATGTGGGTCAAAAGTATTACATGGAAAATTCCAGAAATAATTCATCAATTTGAAATTGCACACTGTTCTGAGTAGTGTTATGAACTCTTGTACCACACTGGTTCTTCCTGGCCAGGAAAGACATTGTGTATATCCACACTGTTCTACACAACCTATCTGTTAGCACTCAGCAGCTGTATCAGATCCATTGTCATGATATTGTTGCACTTGGGATCAAGTAACCTTATTTTACACAATAGTGGCCCCAATGTGCAAGAGCACTGATATTGGCGACTTGAATATGCCAAAAAGAAGCTTCCTGTAAGTGAAAAGGTAGATGTTTTCAATTTAGGGGAAAAAAAAATCTTCAGGCTGTTTGCTAACATCTACAGTAAGAATGAGAAGGGGGAAAAAAGCATAGTATGAATAGGGTTTTGTGCTATTTGTGCATTCAGGCATTCATTGGGGGTCTAGAAATGTGTCTCCTGCAAATAAGGGGGGACTAGTATATTTTCAAATTTTACTTTATCCACTTTTCCATTTTTGAGTTTGTCATGGTGAATATATATTATTTATAAACTATTTTAATAAAACAGATTTTTGTTGAAGAAGTAATACCCATATAATAAATAATTCAAATAGTACAAAAGGGTAGCCTATTTTAATAAATGGCTCTAAACTTATATTTAAACACTTTAAAATGCTAGTTTATTTTATAAGCAGTAATATTTCATATAAAGCCAGAGAAGGAAAATGCCAAAAGGTGTTGTGGAAATGCAATATCTTAAATTAGAATGAGTAAATGAGAAAGAAAAAAAGCAGGACATACATTATATCAAGTAGGTTTTCGCTTAGATATGTAATATGCAGAAAACAAAAAGAAATATTACTATGACTTAGGCTGGTCTCTTTATTCATCAACTAGAGTTAATCACCCTAAATAATGCTTTATATTTCTTCTGGTGCTCAAGAAAACCATTTACCATTTTCAGCCACAATGTTTCCAGGCCCTGAAAACGTCTGGTTTTCTTATTTTCACAGCATCCTGACAAGGGCTGGCAGTTTTCTTCAATGACACTACTTTACCAAAAAATATTTAGTGGTCAAGTTTTCCCTCCCTCTCCCTTTCTACAGGTTTCAAAAGCTGTTAAGTATTCTCTTCTCCTCTTTCTGGAAAAAACTTCCTTTCTCAGTGCTGCTAATTAGATTTGGAGACAAGGGGCAGTTTTTGCCCACTTTTCTTCTATCTTCAGGGGGAAAAAAACCTTTTTGGTTCTGTCCTTCTTCCATTTATTTTCTTCTTAAATGACTGACCTCAAATCAGAGAAAAGCTTCTTCTGGCAGCCAAGTTACCATCTCATTCACTTAACTTCACTTCTTCTAGATGAATGGCTCATATCCATAGAAAAAGCTTTCATTAACATACTGTTTCAGGTTGAATATTTTACAACCTGCTACAGACTTCTATAAGCCCTACTTTAATGCAGATTGCTTTGAAAACATGCTTTGACCTTTCCCCTCAAAATGTTTTAAAAGACATTTAAATATGACAGGCCAGTTTTAGTTAAAGAATAATGCAGTCCTCTCTTGTGTGGCACATGTTCTAAATTTGGAACAATATGGAGAAGTTTAGAAGAGCAAGGATGACATGTCAATTCACAAAGAAGCCATACATTCTTTTTTTTCCTTACTGGGCTAGAAAGTGTCTGTCCTAAATCGATCAGCTCCCATCATAGGCAGTGGTAAAACACTAAAGATGTATTCCCATTAAAATCAAGAGCAAGATAAAAAAGATCTACTACCACCATTGTAATTAATATTTTTGTTCCTTAGTTTAATAAAGCAGGAAACAGAAATACTGGAAATCAAGAGATACAATTAACATCTACAAATGAGAGAGAGATTTTCCTAACCCAGGGGAGTCTAAATGAAATGCATTTAAAATGCGAGTTTAAAAGTGTACCAGCTTTCCTAAACATTTCAGTAATCATTTAGAAAACACATAAGATAAAAATTTTCATATTGTTAATTCCTTTGAAGCAGTTCTAATAAAAATAAATCACAAAGATAGGGGCTGGGAGTGTAGGGTATAATTCAGTAATGGTTTCATTCCCAGAAAAGAAGAAGAAGAAGACGAAGGAGGAGGAGGAGGAGGAGGAGGAGGAGGAGGAATAATAAGGGAAAAATCCCAACTATTTTGTAACTTGATGAAGTAATTTTAAATTTTATCCTGAAGAATTCCATAGCCAGGAACAAATATTTTCTGATAAAGAAGACTAATGAGGAGGATTTGCTGTAACAATAAAATCTGGTTCAAAACTATAATATGGTGACTAAAGCAGTATGGTACTGGCACTGGCACATGGCTTTGAAAAAAAAAAAACAGATAAATGTACCAAACTGCAAGGCACAAAGTAGTTAAATAGAACTTACTGTGTTTCCCTACAATTTAAATCATGTGCCATTTTGGACCTGTGTTAGCACAATGATAAAAGGATTTGTGTTGTGGCAGCTGTTACTATTCTGCTTAGTTCCTGGATTATTTTGAACACAACCCTGCCAGATAGAATCCTTGACAGTCTTCTCAAAGCTCCTAAGGAAAGTTAGTGGGCATGGTTTTCATGGATGAAGGATTTCTTCTAATGTTTCATTTTCTTTCCTTATGAACATGTATGCAACAAGGATTGAATTGCTTTTTTTGGCACATGGCCTCAAATACTTAGCAGGTTAGCACTACTTCTGGGTTTTCCTTTTGTAGATGTTAGGTTAAAACAAAGACATTTCACATTTCTACTCTTTGATCTAAAGAGTATTTTTAAAAGTAATTTCAAAATTCTATTTCCTTGGATGATTACCTCAGTTTGTACATCTATTAATGTAACATCATAATCTTATCTTTTGGCAAGATTCATTTTAAAAGCAAAGGAGACAAATGAATCTCAATTGCCTATCTTTAGTGCTATACTACAATGTATATGGAACCAAATATATACCTCTTTCTTTCCTTCCTTCCTTCTTTCTCTTTCTTTCTCTCTCTCATCTCTTTCTTTCTTTCTGTGATGCTGGGGATTGAACTCAGGGCCTTGCTCATGCTAGGCAAGTGTTCTACTGTTAAGTTATAACCTCAGTGCTGTATCTTTTAAAAAATTGATTTATAATATATAAAATTATATTTGTTTCTGACCATCTGTATAGAAAAACAAAATTATTCTCAATTAGTAATAACTAGATTGAAGAGAAAACATTTTTTTCTCTTTCCACATTTTATTTTGTGTTATAGTTGTATATAATGATGGGATTTGTTGTTACATATTTGTATGTACACACAATATAACAATATAATTAGGCCAATATCATTCTCCAGCACTTCCCCTATCCCTTCCCACTTCCTACCCCCTGGTTCCTTTCCTCTACTGATTTCCCTTTGATTTTCATGAGATCTCCCTGAACTTTCTTATCCTTTGTCTCCTTTAGCTTCTATATATGAGAAAAAGCATATGACCCTTGATGTTCTGAGTTGGCTTATTTTACTTAACATAATGGTCTCTAGTTCCATTTATTTTCTTGCAAGTGACAGAAATATGGAACACTTCACAAATTTGCATATCATCCTTGTGCAGGGGCCATGCCAATCTTCTCTGTATCCTATTTTAGTATATGCACTGTTGAAGCAAGTGGGAGAAAACATATTTAAAAGCCTTAAATTATGTTTCTTTTTGTAAATCAAAGGTACCAAGAAATATATTGTACTGATACCATCTAATGTGTTTCTTTCAAAAACCTCCTAGAGTTGTGCTCAAGTTTATGATTCTGAGTGAAATCAGGTTCTTCCTTTTTGCTGGCCCATTTTGTCTTATTTTCCCAGTTTAAATAAAGCTATAATTTTAGCATCAAATTTTCTATTTATTATTAATTTAATGAAGAAATATTTATTTATTTGCTTCCTATGTGCCAGTTTCTAAACTAGGAATTACATTGTTACAATAGAATAAATGAATTTTCCCTAGCTCTCATGAAGTCTTTAGTGGAGAGATATTACATAATTAGCCCGTCAAACAGATACATAATTACAAATGTTGATAATTTCTACAGGAGAAACATGGATACTCAAAAGAAAAAAACTGGAATTACATACTTCAATTTGGTTGTTTAGCTTAGTTGAAAAAAAAGAAAGCTTTCTCCAAGGAGCCAGCCATGCAAAGGGTGGGTAGAAGAATGTTCTAGAAAGAAAGAACATTCTCTATGAAGATGCAAGACATTCTCAAGTAACTGAAAGTTCAGTGTGGCTAAAGACTGGAATGAGAGCTGGACTTTAGCATGAGATGAGATGGGAATATCAGGTAGGGTCCAGATAATGTAGGGCTTTGAAGTCTGTTTAAATTTTTCATGTTATTGGAAATGTGAAGGAAAGCCTGTAAAAGGTCTTAAGCAGTGGACTAATATGACCACATATATTTTTTTTTTTATCGTACTGGGGACTGAACCCAGGGGTGCTCTACCACTGAGATACATTTCCAGTTCTTTTTATGCTTGAACTTGAGATCCTCCTGCTTCATCCTCCTGAGTTACTGGAGTTACAGGCATGCACCACTATACCTGCATTTTGGATTCAGTGTGGGCAAGAATAGAGCAGGGGAAGCATGGATATGGGCAGAAGTCAGTTATTGTTTCTGAGTAATGAGTCATGTGCAAATTACCAAATGAGCTCTTCCAAGACAAAACATTTTGATCTCAAACTACCATGCTTGCTGCATCCACATTATATTCATAGTGATTCTCTTTAAATAATTATGTATATATTTTTATAGTATTACATAAACTACTCAACTTCTCAAAGAGTTGAGAAGGAGTTTCTGTGATATCCATTTATACTAAGCAACTCTCTCTGGGTGGTGTTTCTTCACCAATTTTCTTTTCTTTTCATTACAGATGTTTATGTGTTAACAAAGTACTGAGACTAGATAAAAGCCAGGGTGATTTTTTATAATTTCAGTAGGAATGGAAAATGTTACTATGAAGAAACATTAGCTTTGTTAGAAGTTGTTTTACGTAATGGATGCACAAAGAATTTTTGGCATCAAAAAATCGTGGTCATGGTTTCTACAAGATTGCCTCCTGGGGACATGGAGAAACCAGCATATCTGGTAACCTGGAATGTCCTGGCTATCCATTGAGCTGAGGGGATGCCAGTGATCTCTTCTCTGAGAATGAACCAAGGACAAGTGGAACTTGGTGAGTATTCCTGAAAAGAGCACAGAGCTCTTCAAAAGGAAGAGGTAAGTAGTCTCTGATAAATGTGAGGGAACTAAAATGGCTAGAACATTAAGAAAAGGAGTTAAATCTGATCACAGAATCTGTCTGAAATGAACGGAACTAAAATGAGAAAAATGAATCACAATGCTAGTAAAAGAAGTAACTGGTTGATAGCCAACAACTGAAGAAGGAATCTTTGAGACCTGGTATGAATTTACCCTTCTTTTTGAGGCATACCAAGAACTGAGTGAGGCCTGAATGAGGTTGGACTTAAGAGAATTAGGGCATCTGCCAAGTAGAAATCTGCAACAATCAAGGATCAGAGAGCAGGAAATGAAGGCTTCATGTCCAGGAAGGAATGAGAAATAAGCTTTAAAAGAAACCAAGGATCCTGTCCTTCTAAAAGTGGGTGTCATCTGAAATATATCACAGATTAAAAGTCTGAATGAATTATTCTAGCAAACTTTTGTTTTCCTAGAAAGAATGAGGTGGAGGAAAGAAACTTGGATTGTTTTGAAATTGTATTAGTCAAACTGAGCTAAGTGGACTTTATGTTAGAATAACAAGTTTGCTCTGAGATGTTATCTCTGTGTTTCTGATTGTGCTTTATTATCTTTTAGTTTTCTTATGAAAGCTCTAGTTATAGTGAACCAATCTTATCTTGACTGAACCCACAGTAAAGGGACTTTCTAGATATCAGTCAGTATCGGTGGGAAGAGACCTTTGTACCCTGCCTGGTTTTTAGAAGTAGCACAAGCCATCCAGAATAGGGTAGTGAGACTGGGTAGGTGGGCATCATAGAACTAACAAAAATTTTCAGACAAACGTGGATACAAAGGTTTTCCTTCCTGGGTCATTTTGTCACCTAATTTCAAAATCAAACTGACCTAATGCAGAAAATCATGGGTGTTATCAATAAAAAAATGAAAGGAGGGCTGGGGATGTGGCTCAAGTGGTAGCACACTCGCCTGGCATGCGTGCGACCTGGGTTCGATGCTCAGCACCACATACAAACAAAGATGTTGTGTCTGCCGAAAACTAAAAAAATATATTAAAATTCTCTCTCTCTCTCTCTCTCTCTCTCTCTCTCTCTCTCTCTCTCTCTCTCTCTCTCTTTAAAAATAAAATGAAAGGAAAAATTCAGAGCAGAAGGGCCATGGACCTGTCTCTCAGTATACTTAAAAAAAAACCCTAAACAAAAAAGATCAGCTTCCAGGGAGAAGTGACTCCTGTGGCTGTAAAATTCCTGACCACATGAAAGTGAGGGACATTCAGAAGGAATATGTGAATAGAGACAAAGGCAAAACCACTCAAATGTATTTGGTGTCTTAAGAGACCATTGATAACTTTTTCATGGCAAAGGGAGAAGAATTTGCTGGATTTGATCTATTGCTGTCTTATGCAAACAGTCCAAATGAAACAATGAGATTGTTTTGGGTATTAAGATGCCCTAAGTCCAGCTTATTCATTTTTTTCTCTCTTGAAACAAAGGTACTTAAATGCCAGACTCTGGAGTTAATTTTAAATAAAAACTATAAACTTCACAGCTAGTCACATTTATATTTTTACATAGTTCACAGCTTGGCATATCCAAATATACTACAAATATTTTGGTAATACTTTTTCTACAAAGACAATTAAGTTCCTAACAATCATCTATTTTATACGTACCTAAAAAGGAAATATTTCAACTTGCACCTCATTGATCCTTTCTGAAATTGCCACAAAATGCCAATTTATATGCTAATCCGAAAAATGCAAACATAGTTTGTTATTTGAGGGCTTATAATGAGTCTGGTATCTGATTTGGCCAGCATACTAAGAAAAATGTAGCAAATGTCTTATACTTAAGACTGTTCATAGTTGGTTTCTAACACTGCAAACACGACCTTGAAATTAATGTCACTTACATTTATGTCACTTACAATAAAAGCTTTTCCAATATGCTGGAACTGCTCAGTGAATTAACAATAAAGATGTCATGTGCTCATATGAGGAAACCAAAGGGAGCCACATGACATAGGGATGATAGAATATTGCTGGGAATTGTACATAGCTTTAGGAGTCAGGAGATTTGGGGAAAAAGTCCATATTGACACTGAATTACCACAGGTAAACTTGAACAGGATAATTTGAGGCTTAGATAGGTTATTTTCCAAGGATGTGGGGAAGCGCCCTGGAATTCCTTGGAGACATTTTAGAGATAACTGGTGGTTAATAAACAATGATCAGGAAGTTCTAGGTGGACCCTCAATAAAAATAGGTCTTTTTGAAATTTGTTTAACAAACCCATCTTCTGAATGAGATTTACTTTGGATCTAGGCTTCTATGGACTCTGCTATGGTCTGAATGTTTATGTCCCCCTAAATTCATATATTGAAATCTTATTCTCCCAAAGAAATGGTATTAAGAAGTAAGGGAGGTAGGGAGGGATTAAGGTCCTATAAAGGAGAGCCCAGAAAGTTCTTTGCCTTTTCAATATGTGAGGACACAGCACAAAGGCATCAGCTACAAACCAGGAAATGGACCCTCAACCAGACACTAAATCTGTCAGTGACTCCATCTTACTCTTCTTAATGTCCAGAATATTGAGAAATGTCTTTTGTTTATAATTTATACAGTCTCTTGTGCTTTGTTATATCAGTCTGAGGGGACTAAGACAGGTTCCCCACACCAAATCCTCCCAAGATATCTTCCGACTCTACCACTTTTTTACACTCTATTTCAAATTGATTTCATATTGCCATTTTAAATTGCAAACACTTGATTATTGGAACTATCCATTCCATAAGGCCAATGGAATATTTTCCTCTCAATCCTTTGAGCTATGAATGTGTCCACAATCTCTGTGAATATAGGCACTTCAGGTGCTTCTTGCTTGTTCACTGTCAGGTTGGGAGAGATCCCTTCTACTTCCCCCTTAGTTCTTATGTGGGCTCTTTCGATGGATCTGGGAACCTAATTAATATAAAAGCTGATTAACCAGAGAAAAGTATAAAAATTGTATTATTTTCATATGAACATGGGGATCTTCAGAAGAAAGTCAAGTCCAAAGAAATGACCTAAGAATGATGCTTTAAAATGTTTTAGGCAAAGAATAGTAAAGATGTTAAGGAATTACAGGACAAATGGTTATCTGGACTAAGCTAGTAAATTCTAGGGAGGTTACTAAGAGACATAGAGGGTGCAGAAGTTTGTGAAAGATAAGGGTTTCTTCAGAGTTTGTTTATTCAGGTTTACTACCAGCACTAATGACCAGTCCTTGGGATCAAGACTATTTTCCAGCCTTGGTATGTGAAGGACATCTCTCCTGAAAGAGACTTTATGGCCTGCTCCCTATAGGAAAACACATTTCTCAATTGATTTGTTAAGCTTCAAGTAATCAATATACCAATTTGGCATATTTTGAGATGGCAGATCTTTAA